CTTCTAAGACATCAACTGATAATTCATGAGAATAATTTAAGGATATATCTCTACTAAGGGGCATGTTCTCAAAAAGTTAACAAACATGTTTCAAATACCCATGAAGACTCATAAAAGATATTCTGGACAGATAATGATAGTATGTAATAGAATGTTTGATGGTGGGTGTCTTATTCAATGCAAACTTTCTTCCTACAATTCCTTAAGTCTACACAATTCTAATATGGTCTACAAGCATCATTTGTGAATGCAAATTCATTGAGTAAGAAATGTAGAATGAATGAAATTTATATTGAGGAGATATTAACTTAGGAATCTTAGCATCATTTATCTCTGTAAATGATCTTAGGGGTGGGGTTAGCTAAGAATCTTAAGCATAAATTTGCATTGAGAGAGAGAGAGACAGACAGACAGACAGAGACAGAGAGACAGAGACAGAGACAGAGAGACAGAGAGACAGAGAGAGAGAGAGTGAGAGAGACTGACGGAGTCAGTCCAAGGGGGAGATTATCTTAATACTCAGTAAAAAATACTTTCATGCAGCCCTGAGCACCAAGTTGGGGTAAAAGACCCTAATAGAAGATGAAACACCCACAGTGCTCAGTGCTCCAAGTGCTCAGGTCTGACTCCGAGTCATTCTCAAGTGTGGTCATGTCCAGCCCACAGCTGTGCTGTATCTTTCAGGTTAGTACTGCAGAGTCTAGCCAGGACTGGCAAGTGGTTTCCCCACAAATAGGAAGACATGAAGACAAAGAGAAAATGCAATCCCTTTCTCTGCTTTTTGGTGTGAAGGTAACAATTATGTGATGAAGACTTGGGCAATTCCAGCCTTGTTTCTTCACAGAGGGAGCCAGGACACTTAACTGGGATGACTTCTAGGCTGATTCTGCAAAATGGCTTCTTGTTTTTCAACCTCCTTTTTGTTTTGTTGGAGGGAGCTAGATATTTTTTACAACTTCTCTAAAAGAAATTTCCAGGACCTTTTACTACATAGTCACATAATGGAGTAATACTCAAGTATCCTTGGCAGGACATAGTGGTGCACTTTAATCCCAGCCCCTGGGAAACAGAGGCAGGCATATCTCTGTGAGTTCAAAGCCAGTCTGGTCTACATAGTGAGTTCCAGGACTGCCATGCATGCATGCTCTGGTTACACATGTATTCACTTGGGATCAGCATGATCTAATCTGTATGGTAGCCCACCTTTGTAATTATATGTACCTTTATTAACTTACAGATCTTTAAATGTGGAAAATCTAAATCAAGTATCCAAATATTTTTCCATCTTTCCTATGTGAACATAAAATTGACATCGCTTATAAGGCTTAGAGAGGCACTTCCTACAACAAAGTAGAAACGTGATATTTCTCTGCTTACAAGAGAGGCAGTGACTTCCTACAGGATCTGAGGCTGTTCTCTTTTTTCCTTATTTATTGGCTATTTCCGAGTAGCCAGTGCTTGAGGGGAGGGGGTGTTACAGATAGACTGGAATGGAGTTGAGATCTTGGTATCCTAAAATACCCCATGGAACACTGTAAAAGGAATGGGTTATTCATCCTATTCTTTTGTGTTATTAATTTCTGAGTCCCTAAACCACCTAAGGTAGTGTGGGTGCCATCAGGGTCCTCATCCCACTTTAGAGAGCCTGGTCTCCACTATAGTTAGCCTTTGAGTTTTGAGTCTCTGCTAGATTGTGGATTCCTTGATAACAACTTATTCTCGATGCCCTTAGCAATGTACAGCATGAATGCTCAGGCACAGCTGGTGTTTTGTAAGGGACAAAGTGTCAGTAAATGAAAGCCTTTAGGTGGAGAGGAGACAGGGGTATTTTTTTCCACTGGGAGGCATGTGGGGACAGAGTAATAGAAAGTCTTGTAGTGAAAAGGGAGACTAAGGAGGCCAACCAAGAAGAGAGGATGTCAACTTAAGATAAGTCACACTGGCTTAATGATGATGCTCAGGTGGTCTTTGCTGACAGCACAGTGAAATGCCCATCTTAGACAGTACTAAGATCAAGGCAGACTCTACTATGTGAACTTGGCTAAATCATTTTTGAGAAGATAGGAAGGTAGATTTCTTTTATTAATAAGACCATTTAAGATTCATATCACACATTTTCCTTCTGGATCCTTAATTACCTTGATGTAAAGTGGTTTTATAACTCCCCCCCAAAGGTTCTTGCCACACCTGTAGTATGGACAGCAGGGCTTTGGAGACTGGACCTGTCCTATCAGAGTATATTGTGTATCTGTCTGTCTGTCTGTCTATATGTCTAATCAGTCTATCTTCTATCTATCTATCTATCTATCTATCTATCTATCTATCTATCTATCATCTATCCATTTATGCCTCTATCATCTACCCACCCATCTGTCTCATACAGGCTTCAAAATATTTTAGATTATTATCATGGCCTTAATTTTGGAGCAGGATCTCTTCACTCACTGTGTTTACTAGAACATTATATACACTCTGTGTGTGGGGCCATCTCACCCCTACATTTTCCCAGAGTAGAAGCAGCAGGAAATATTAGATAGAAGGATAGAGGGGAGAGAAAAAGTTAGAAAACACAGGATAGCCTCGGGAGGGCCTGGGTCCAAACCCACCAGCCCCTTCTGTCTCTACTAAAGGGCATTTTAAAGGAGTGCCAAGGGGTGGAGCAAAAGACCTCCCCCCCCAGTACAGCAAAGTGTAGACCATCCCAGACACCTGGTGACCTTGCACGTGGTCAAACCATCCCCTAATGCAGCTCTGCTGTGTAAGGCAAGCTCATCTCACTAGGAAACCTTGGTGGGCTTCCACAACTCTGGGTATTTATTATTTGAAAGAGTTACGGTAATCTGTGGTCTACAAGAAAGTAGTTCTTCCTTTCAGGTTTCCCTAAGTATATATTACCATCTGCCCAGATAATTAGGTAAAATATTTTGATCATTTGACTTATTGAATATCTACTTTGGTCTAAACATTGTGTGAGGGTATGGTGTGGGGAAGGTAGGGAGAACTTGGTGGGCTAGACCCAAACCAGGCTCTCAACAATGTTAGAGGAAAAAGGAAGTGGGAGAGAAAGTTTTGTTCAGTGCTCCACTTATCTTTAGTACATGGGGCTTCTGAATATGTTTTGACAACACCTGTGCCATCTATACAAAAATATTCACCATTTACAACCATCTGCATCGACAAAAGGCTATTGGTATCGCCCAGTGATTCCTCGTGAACGCTGTGGTATGGAATTATCATTCTTTGTGCATATTTGGAAGAAATAAGATTTGTTTTGAGTACTACTGGGATTCTCCCACTCTGGTTCACCCTCTTTGCAGATGAGGTAAACGTCCAGGAATAAAAATTTCAAAGGCACAGAGAACAGGTCTCTTGGATACATCTTTTGAAAAGCCAACTCATGGCTGAGCTCACTCATTTATTTTTACAGAGTGTGGGCTGCACTTTCTATACCCATGCCTCTATATAAAGAATGCTTTAGAAACTTCTGACTTTCCAGCTTCATGTGAGTCATCAGGTTCTTGTTTTAGAGTGTTCATGTGTTCGTGTATGCGTGTGTGTTAGAACAACTCTGGGCACAAGGCATGTATATACTCATAAAAATGTGTTTAGAATGCATGTTAGAATTTTTTTAAATAAGAAGAGTATATATAGAGTGTATGTGTGTTTGTGTGTGTGTGTGTGTGTGTGTGAGAGAGAGAGAGAGAGAGAGAGAGAGAGAGAGAGACAGAGAGACAGAGAGACAGAGAGACAGAGAGAGACAGAGACAGAGAGGGGGAGGAGAGAGAGAAATGCAGTACAGGTTGGGGATCAGTTGCATCAGTTACATGAGAGGCTATACTCTTAGCAACTCAGACAGTGGTATAAGATAGAGTGTTAATGGAGGTGATTGTTTTCCTTGCAGACCAGTACACAGGTCTTTGAGGAGCCCTTGACTTTCTCCTTCTTCCGTGTCTTGTTATAAAGGGATTAGAGTCCAATTAAGCCATTTAATCCCAAGGTAGAAATTCACGTTTAAAAACAAGATTTACAGCTTCTTAAAAAAAAAAAAAAGACACCAGTGCAAGTTGAAGTCTGTCCTTGCAAGTTGCCACCTGCATGGATCCAAAGAGCATTTTTAGCTGAGCACCCAATACATTCTTAATTACCTTGCCTCATACCTCTCCTCCTTCATCTCTTAAAGTGCCCTTCAGCCTAAATAGCCACATGCTGTCGGAAATACTTCAACTTCTGGATTGGTGCAACTCACCTAGGCTTTTCCCTTCTTAGCATCTCAGCGAGCAGGATTGATAATAAGAACAGTACAGAAAGCAAGTGCTGACTGGGAGCTTAGCATGAGCAGACATCCTTAGACTGAGTGCTTTATGCCCATTACCTCATTAGGTGCCCACTGGGAGGTGTGACTCGTGTAGTCACTTGGGGCCACCACCTGACTTAATACTCTGTTGTTGTCATCTTGAAATTCTTAATCATTTTAGAGCAAGGGGCTTGCGTTAAAAAATTACAAAATGCAGAAATGGGCATCGGACCCACAAGTTATATCATTATCCTGAGAAACACCTGCTAACCCACAGGTCCTATTGTTTTCTTTCTATGTGATGCCCGGGCTATTGCAGAAGATGTGACAGCGAGTCTCATATAATGTCAAAACCCTGTCTGGAAAGTGTCTACCAACATCTCCTTAGAGGGGAGTTTTCTGATGAGCAGGCAATCATGTTTACCTCACTACAGAAAAGTGCAAAGTATCTGGGAATTTGGGCAAGTTGTTTAATCCTTTGAACTCTCAGTTTCCTAACCTGTAAAGTAGGGATAATAATAATAATCATATTTAACTTACAGGATGCTTAAGGATAAAATGCGATCACAAATATCTGCAGTACACATGGCTTCAGTTAATATTCATGTATTCTGAGTGCCTGGCAAGTACTTAGCATCCAACAGTGCTTGTGACATGGGGAAGCTCTCTTGCCTACCACCAAGGTGCCAGCGGATTTACTCCTTACCTGTCCTGAAGAGTGAGCAGGGAAGTCTGCCTTGTCCCCATGCTGAGTGAGCACAGAGGGGCTGCTAGAGCTGATGAGCACTGGGGTGCTGATTTCCACCATCTGGTGACCTTCAGGAGAATGGACCATGCGGTTGAGTGTGTTCAAAGCTGTTGTGATGGAGAACTGCCCAGACACCTTCCTCCTGGACCCAGGGCTCTTTCGGAGGGTGAGTGTGTTGGTTGCTTTGCCTCTGGATGGAGAGGACATCAGGGACAGGTTTTTCGTGCGTGATAACTGATGTCCTTTGTTCTTCTCTAAGAGGTGTCTTGCTGCGAGGTTTGGCTGCAAAGATAAGAGGATCGATGAGAGTTACTCTCTGACATAGTGTAGTAGCTAAGTCGCACACTCATTGGCAACTGATGCTAGCTAGCTTCTCAGCTCGGATGGCCATCCTTTGGTCAGTGGCTGGGTCAGACGGCCATCCTTTGGTCAAAATAATAACACATTCTATCTTCTATCCATTTGAAGTTCATACATTTGATAAGCTTTGAGACATAGTAGACACACATTCAGGACCTTGACTCATCCGTCTGCTAAACCTGTTCTTTTTTTCCTATTTCAAATATTGCCATCTCCTCACTTTCCTGTTCTTTGTCTCTAACATCAGTTGTTCTGGTAAATTACCCAGGGAAGAAAAAAACACCAAAAAGGATGGAAAAGCCCCAGTGTGTAGTGTTATCGATAAGCCAGCTGTTTAACAGCTGGCTAGCACAGTTTCTGGAACTGTAACAAATGGTGTGTCGGATCTGGCACCAGCCAGCCCAGTGTACGTTACTGTAGCCTTCCCTAACATCCGACTCATTACTTCTAAAGGCCCCTGGGGGCTGACAGCCTTTGGAAATATGAAATCTGTTGAAAAAAAAAATGAGGGTGCCTATGAATCAACGCTTTCATCTCAGGACGATTAGTTAAATTCCTATTATTACAATAGTCGCCAGTCGTTCTCCAGAGCGACATGTCTCATTCTAATTTAGACGTTCAACTAGAGAGGGGAAAAAAGAATGTTCCCTTTTACGAACTTTTTAAATGACAATGTGCAGAGGATTAAAATAGCGGAGAGAGAAGACTTGGAAGAAGAGGTGATTCTTGTCTGAAAAAGCCTGCCACATTGTGAAAAACTCACCAAATGGGTGATTAGTATTATTGTGCTCATATTTGTATATAAATGTGAGTGTATCGAGGGCGGAGGTCAACCTCTGCTGTCATTCCTCAGGAGAAATTCCCCTTGTGTTTTCAAGCGGGGTCTTTCCCTGGCCTGGAGCTCACCAAGTGAGCCTACCTAGTCATCTCCCCAGTGCACTTAAAAAAAAAAAAAAGACCATTTCAAAGATAAGAAAGCTGAGGCCCAGAAGGAATGACGTAAGTGACAGAGCCCACGTGTAAACTAGTAAACAAGAAGCTGTCAGATGATAATGTCTTCCAGTGTAAAAGGGAGAGTGAGTGGAGGGATACGGCCACTTCACACTGGGCGGGGTGGGGGGTGGGGTGGGGGGTGGAGGGTTGGGGGTTGGGGAGGGGGAGCATCAACGAAGAGCCTCTGAGAAGGTGGCCTTTAAGCTGAGGTGAGTGGCAAGAAAGAGCCAGTTGTGTGGAAATGAGGACGTGAACAGGCCAGGCAGAAAGAAGTAGGAAGGATGGAAGGGAGCAGGTGAGGAGATGGGGAGGGGAGGCCACAGGGTTGGCAGGCACCGGATTGCACAAGGACTCAGGAGGGCTTTGACTTGTTTTCAGTGTAACAGGAAGCTCCTGGCAGGTCTGGGTTGAGGAGTGACATGATCTGATTTATGCTTTTTAAAGCTCGTGTTACGGTTTGGCAGTTTCTCACAAACACATACTTAGCATCTGATCCAGCAATCCCACTTCTGGGTAATTACGCGAAGAAAGAAAAAAAATGTATGCTCAAACCACAGTTTCATTCAGAGTTGCCAACGACGGGGAAGCAACCTCGACGCCATTTATTGCCAGTTGACTGAGTGGTGATTTATATATGTGTGTGAATGCATGTGGCGGTCAGAGGCCACCCTCAGCCTTTGTTCCTCAGGAGCTCCCCATCTTGGATTTTAGGAAGGGTTTCTCAATGGCCTGGAGTTTGCCAATGAGGCTGGCTGGCTGGCCATTGAGCTCCAGGGATCCACCTGTCTCCCCTCTCCGGTGCTGGGATGACAAGTGTGTACCATCATAACCATTTTTTTCTCTTTTTTCTTAAAACTTGGGTTCTGGGATTGAACTCAAGTCTTTATGATTGCATGGTAAGACTTAACAGACAGAACTATCTCTCCAGATGCTATCTCTGGAACATCTGTGCTTTGAGACACTGTTCACTAATAAAAAGATGAGCTGTGGATACATGGCACAATACAGATGAATGTCAACTGTGTTAAGCAAAAATGAAAGAAGCCAAGCTCACAGGCCTATGTTTTATGGGGTTCCATTTATAGAACATTCTAGAAAAAGAAAGCCATAGGGGCAGAAAATAGATCACTGGTTACTAGGTGGAGGAACAGATGAGATGGCTCAGCATGAGGAATTTGGGGGGCATGTTGGAACTTTTCTACATATTGACTATAACGTGTTTATACAATTATATGTAGTTATCAAAAACAGAGATCCAGATACATTAAAAAAAGCAAAAAGCAGGTTTTACTCCATATAAATAATGAAAATATGATTCTTTAGAAGTAATGCTGAGAAGTAGGGATACTGATTAGCAAGATATCTATTTTGTTCTGGCAAGCTCTAACGGTATCCTGGACTAAGGACAAGGCCTTGCAAGGCCCCACAGCACCTGTTCCTCCACGGTTTGCACAGGAAGGAGGACAACTGATACCCTTCAAATTGAGTGAGTGACTTTCCTTACAGTCATCTGCAGCCGTAATAACACAAGTTAATTCTTTCTTATTTGCCCTGCCTTTCTGCCTCCAGGTGGGCAGCACTATCACCTTTCTATTATTATTATTATTATTATTATTATTATTATTATTATTATATATTATTATTATCAGTAACACCAACAAAGGGCCCTGTGAGAATCTGCTTTTGCCCTGTCCTCCACCGGCATGATTGACAGCTCAGCTGGGGAGGGACTGTGTGGCTCTTAGGTTTGCACCCATTTGAAACAATATCCTTGAAGTTCATTGGGCTGGATGAAGTTCACACAATGAGACTACCCTGTGGAGAAGTCCCGACAAGAATGGGGAGAAGCTCAGCTTTTGTTTAACTATCCTTTGTGTGGGTGCTGCTCAATAAATCCAATGATGCATTAACAGGAACAGTCTTATTTATGCACCAAAAAAAAGTCCATGTTATCCTTATAAGAAAGCCTTCCTTTCCATCGATCTGCATAGCACTGGCAGCACAAACTTTATTTAAAGAGTTCTTAGCACGTGCTGCTCTTAATGAAATTACTGGAGTCAAAACTTTAAGTACTGCTTAAAAAGCTCAATTTAGATTTGAAGTAATGTTTGAAAAGTAGGTTCCCAATTAGACAAACCACTTGATTATCTTCTTCCTCCCTCCTAGCAATTAGGAGAACAAATGAAGCCATGGCTAGTTTAATGATAATTTTGAGGCTTCTTGTAATTACTAATTTTAGAGGTAAATGGGTAGTGAGAGTATCCAAATGAATAATCATTAAATACAGAAGTTTTCAAAACAGCAGTATTCAGAAACAGGTGATGAAATTAATGCGTAGTCCTTCACCCCAGAGCTATGAGGAAGCATCTCAAAATAATGCAGGAGATCAGACCAAAGTCTCCCACCTCCAATGTGTGCAGTTAGGTACCTAGTGCAGGTCCTGGGAGAGTGAACATTCCCCTAATCACCCTTATTGTTTCTACCTAGCAAATGGCCCCACCACTGACCTAGGCACACAAGTCAGAAAGTGGAGACGCCCTAGGCCATGTCCCTCTTTCCCATGTCCTCCACCTCTGCAATTCCCAAATCCTCAAAAGAGCTAGAATTTGAATTTGCCAATTTGTTTCCAGTCTAGCAGTCAGAGTTACATCATTTCCAAATGGAACCATGCAGCAGCCTGCTCATCTTTCTGTCTCTCTCTCTCTCTCTCTCTCTCTCTCTCTCTCTCTCTCTCTCTCTCTTTTTTTTAAATTGGTTATTTCTATTGTATCCCAGAAACCAAAGTCTGGGCTTGATGGCTCACATCTGCAATCAGAGCTCTTGGGAGGCTGAGGATGGTTGAGGCTAGCCTGTGCTGTCCATTCAGTTTTAGTCTAGCATGGGGTATACAATAAGACCTTGTCTGAAATAAAAATAAACATGTCAACTCCGACCAACCAACAAATCAACCAACAAAAAACAACAGTTAAACAAAACCAACCATGTCTGATCAAATTATTGATCTCTGAGTCAAATCCAAATTTATAATAGTAAGATATACAGGATCTTCACCATATAGCCCATGTGGTTCCCTTTCTTCTGCTGACCTGGAGCATTGTGACTGGTCCAGCCAATGGGCAGTGAGTGAATGTGAGTAATGTTCCTTCAGAGGCTCTCAGCTGTGAATACACAATCCATTCTCCCCTCCTGTGGCAACTGGGAAGAACACATGCTCCACAGGTGGCTGTGAGTAGAACCACTCAGCATCCTGTGCTGAACATACAATGCAGGTAGGAAACAGCATTTTCTTTGTGGAGCCACTGAGACTTTGGGGCTATTTAGTACGCCAGCATCACCCAGTCTTTTCTGTTTACAAAATGGTTTGTAATTACTACAATTTACTTCTTTGGCTTAGTGACTTAGCTCTGGATCTGGTAGTCTCTGGGTCCTCTTGCTACGTCTACGGCCCCGTCTGCTGCTTCCTCCTCCATACCTACATACTGAACCTCAACTGCTTCTCAATTGGCTCAGTTGGCATTCGCTGACCTCCCAGATGAAGTTGCACATCACAAGGCCTTAACAGTTCCCTCCATTTCACCCTTTGCATCATCCATCATCCTTGCAATCAATTACCCGAGTGCCTGACAGTGTGCCCTCTGGGATGAGGGACTCGTATCTACCCTGTATCTTTAGAACTTTGTGTGGAACCTGATAGAGCAGGTGCCAACAAAGCATTAAATAAATGAGTGCACAGGACAGCAGGGTCAGAATGAATAGTTTATTTTTTTTCTAACCACCTTCAAATAGGTTTTCATTTATTCAATTAAATGCCCTAAAAATTATTGTATTGTTACTGGATCCCAAGGCCTTACATAAGCTGGGCAAGCAATTTTTTTTTTTTAATAGAGAGCCTGTTCTGTGTTAGCTGGCCTATAAAATGTAACCAACACACCTGCTACATGTTTAGAGAAGACAGAAACCAGTCAAGGTTCACTTGACTGCTGACATGTTCTGGACATTTTTTTTTCTTTCCTAGCAGAGCCGCATAAAATGAGTGAAATTCGAATAGGTGGGAAACACAAGGCCAGGTGAATCAGGAAGAGGCCCAGGAAGAGACAAAGCATGAGGCATGAGAATACCTGTCAGTGCACACACTAGAGCACAGCCCCCTCCACCCTTTGGTTACTTTGACTGGCTGAGTGAAGGATGTACCCAACACCTTGAAAGCTGGACAAGGCTTAGGATACACCCTTTGCTGCAGAACCTGCTTTGGCTTCCATGCACGGAAGAATTGGCTTCTTCTCCCCAATTATGCCTCAGTCCCATTTTCCCCACCCTGCTGGAGGGTGGGGACACTGCCTGGTACTTCTTTTTATAGCTCTCCGATACTCACTTTTAATACATTTATGCATGGTAAGCACCCAGTGAACACAGTTAAACAATGAAAGATCTCTTTTGAATTTGCAATGACTTGCTTCAAGCTAGGGTGAGGCTCGTGGCTAGTGAGGTTAGAGACCAGAGGTTAGGTAATTATACTGGAGAAACAGATAGCCTAGCTTGTTTTTTAAGTCATTTAAAAAAAAAATCCACAGAAGTAAGGCTGGGCAATTAGCTCTGTAGGTAAAGGGCTTGTTGGGCAAAAGTGATGACCTATGTTTGGATCCCCAGACCCTGTATAAAAGCTGGGTGTGGTGGCACATGCCTGAAACCCCAGTGCTGGTGGTGGGGGTATGGAGACAGGCAGATCCTGGGTGCTTGTTGGCCAGTCAGTGTTATCAAAACCGGTTCACTAAAGACTCTCACAAAATAAGGTAGGGAGCTGAAGAGGAAGAAATCTGATGTCAACCTCTGGCTTCCAGCTGGAATTTTACATCTAGTGGTCACTACTCCCAATATGTTGGTATGTGTTGGTGCACGTCATTGCAATCTCTTCCCTGCTTTTCCCCACAAACACACATTTTTAGAGCTGCTTTCAACTTAGTTCAACTTTGTTTCATTGTTTTATGTGTTTTCTAATATTTCATTCATTTTAAGTGTCTAGTTCAGCAGGGTTAAGTGCATTCACATTGTTTTGGACAGATCTCCAGGACTTTCTCATCTTGAGGATTTGAAAAATCTGTATTTATTCAATTTGTTGTCAACTCTACAATAAATCATATATTTTCCAATAATATCTAGTATTTCACAATATTATTAACATTTAAATGGTATATATAAAAATTTTCTGGCCCATAATAAAGAGTAGCCCCAGTGTAGTGGTAGTACATGCTTTAATCCCAGCACTCAGGAGACAGAGGCAGGTGAATCTCCGTGAGTTTGAGTCCAGCCTGGTCTACACAGTGAGACTCTGTCCCTCCCCAACAAAGTGAGTCTTCACTGTTGATTATTTAGATTATTTCTGCATTTCACTATTATGTACAATGCTATGGTAAACATTTGGTGTGTTTGTATCAACAACTTTACGTGTTTATTTAAATATTTCCTTATAGCCAGTTCTTAGATGTGGAATTGTTAATTGTTAAACCAGTGCACACTTTAAGTTTTTTTTAAAATATGGGTGAACTTGCATTTCAGTGTGAGAAATTTGACCACTTTACACTGCAAGAAACAGTGGAAAATATCCATTTCTCCACATTCACCAGAACTGAGTGTCATTGTGTAGACTTTTTCTTTAGAGGTTCCAGTGAGTTCTAAACCTCATGTTAAATAGGAATTTCCCTCAGGCGTCACTGGGGCGGGCACACAGACACTTTTGAGCATGCTTGACTCAGCTGTAGCTGGGAGACTCACATACCTCTACGAACAAGATGGGGAAGATGCCCACTTTATCTCCCAGCTTCCCTTCTGCCCAGTTCTCATCCACTCGGCTGATCACCGTGATGATGTCATCCTGAAAGAGAAGGCCTCAAGTCAGCTCTACCCTTCACTTTCAGGTGATGAAATCTTCCATGGAGAACAGTTTGTAGCAGGGAGCAAAGGGTATACAGCTCTTGAGAAGGTTGTGTGGGAAATACCTCTGCCATCATAAAAGGCAGTGTTTGAGTCACCAAGATTTCCAAGAGGAATGGAAGGGACTTGAGGATCAGTGGAGCCTGGTAGGAAAACTCAGAATACTCCAAGCAGAATCTGTGGTTTTCATTTAAACTAACTTGATGGAGAAGCCAAGAGAGAAGCCATAGGTGATACAGCTCTAGCTTGGCAAAGGGGAATGACTTTCATTCCCATTTTGAAGACATTTTGGAACTGACTCCGTTTTAATATGTCAAAAAATAAAGCAGCTTTTATTCAAAATTTTTCTCACTACAAAAGATTATATGTAAAGTTGCAGAAACATTCAAAATACTGATAAGAAAAACAAGTGGATTCTGTCCACCACGGTGTAGGTACGGCCACGGCTAGCAGCTTGCTCGACATTTTTTTCTAGATGCTTTTGCAGCAAGATAAAAGATATATGCATATAAATGTGATTTAAATTCTTTTCAAGACATACATTTACGCATTCAATAAAGTGCTTAAGTCTTGAAAGTGAGCTGGAACAGTCAACTTCAGCTATGAACCCTCATCCAACTCAAAGTATGAGACTGAGCACCCCCTTTGTGCTTTTTCCCACACTCTAGCATCATGACCTCTGGTACTGTCCCCTCATTTTGTCTACTCTCCTACTTCATACAATTGATGTCTTACTTAATACCTTAGTGGGACACTTTTTGTTACAACTCTTTCTCCGGTGTGTGTGTGACATGTACCGTGGTGTGTGTGTGCAAGTCAGAGGACAACTTGTGGGAGTTGGTTTTCTCCTAGAACTACTGAGCTATCTTTCTAGCTACCACACCCTCTTTTTGTTTTTGTTTATGTTTTTTTTTTTCTTGAGAGAGAGACTTGCTATAGAGCCCAGACTGCTTTAGTGATCTTCCTGCCTCAGTATCTCAAATGCTGAGATTACAGACACGCCACAACATTTGGCAGAGAGAAGATCTTTGGTTGAATTCGGACATGCTGGGTTTAGGACTACCCTAGATTTTTCTAATGTAGCGTCAGTGTTCCACAGTGACAGAATGGACAAAGTCCCCTGCTCTGGGCTCTTTGTCACACTTTCCCACTGATGTGTGTGTTTTCCATTGGACTCCCAGTTCAACAGAAGGAGGGACATTGCTCCATCACTTTGTTCCCAGTGGCTGAACTGTCAGATGGGGGGAAGGAGTGATGACTCAGTAGTTAAGAGCACTTGCTCTTGCAGAGGACCCAGGTTCAGTTCCTAGCACCCACACAGTGGCTCACAACTATCTGTAACTCCAGTTCAAGAGATCCAATGCCCTCTTCTGGTTTCCATGGGTACCAGGTACATACATGGTACACATACATGCATGTGGGCAAAATATTCCCATACATAAAGTGAAAGTAGATTAAATTTATTTAAAAGAAATTGCTAAATGAATGGACTTGTGGACTTTTGTTGAGGAATTGTAACAGTACCACTTCATGTACTTACATGTTGACCTGTGACAGCAGCAACTAATAAGGTAACCCCAACTTGGGTTTCTATGAGGGGATTTGGACACCTATGGTACAACAACCTCTGAAAATACAGTTGAAGCCCCAATTAAATACTTTCTTCTATAAGTGTTACCATGCTCACATGTCACTTCTCAGCAATAAGACATTGACTAATACATAGTCCATGTAGTTGAAGTCATACACACACATCGCTTCCATATGTGCATGCACACACACACACACACACACACACACACACACACACACACACACAGATGCATGCACATGTGCATTCATGTGTAACACGCATACTCTTTAAAAAAAATCAGCAAGTATTAAACAACGGACTGTGGCTTCTCCCATCGTCTGTCTGTGGTCTGCGATTACCTTGAGGAAGGTCAGGCAGTCCTGGTTCTCACTCTTATCCTTGTCTCGAAGGTCAAAGTTGTAGAGGGCCCTGCAGAGTGGTGGCGGCTGGGGCAGCTGCTTGATGACTTCCACGGAGCTGGCTGGGAAGATCCCACTGACCCCATTGATCTCCCCCTGGTACCAGTTCTCATCAAGCTGTCTCCGGAGGAGGATGACATCTCCTTTATTAAACTTCAGGTCACCGGGATTCTTCCCTCTGTAGTTGCACAAGGCCTTGGCTCGAGGCACCTGCAAGTGGCACGGACCAGAAAACAGCAAGTGAGCGTAGGGCTGGAGGGCTGGAAGGTCTCACACCAGCTGCTAGTGATCGTTGTGTGTGGACATCCAGCTCATTTGGTGTAGGTAGCCGCCTTATTTTCTTTTCCTGTCCTGTGATGAGGTACTCTGACAAAAATAATTTTAAGGAGAAAGAGTTCATTCGGCTCACAGTTCACGGTACCCATCACGATGGAGAAGGCATGACAGCAGAAGCTGGAAGCGGCTGCTCACACCACAGCTTTGGTCAAGAAACAGCCATGACCGCTTCCAAGTACTCAGCTCTCTTTCTCCATTTCACACAGTCCAGGATCATCTCCTGCCCAAGTCATGGTCCTGCTCACAGTTGAGATGGGTTTCCTCACATCGGTTAGCATAATCAAAATAACCCTCATAGGTACGCTCAGCACCTGCTGTCCACCTCTTAGATGATTCTAGAGCCTGTCAAATTTTCAATGAACAGCAACCATCGTAGTAAACCTCTCCTTTTTTTTCTTTTTGGACAAAGATCTTTTTATTTTTGAGATTATAATACAATGATCACATTTCTCCCCTCCCTTTCCTCCCTACGAATCTCTCCACTCTCCTCAAATTCATGGCCTTTTCTTTCACCAGTTGTTTTTGCATGCACATCTGTATTCTCCAGCACAACCAGGTCAGTCCAGATGATGTTACTTGCATGCATGTTTTCAGTGCTGACTGTTGGGCACTGGACAACCAACTGGTGTGTTCTTCCCTGTGGAGGACCACCTCTCCTGCTCCCAGCATTCCCCGGTTATCTATAGTTCTTTGTGTAAGGTTGAGGCTTCGTGGGATTTTCCCCATCCATCTTAGCATACCTTAGCAACATCTTGGTTTAAACATTGATTTGTGGCTATATTTGATTGTCTCCACTTATTTCTAAGATCTATGCACTTTATTGTATATCTCTATCTATCTATCTATCTATCTATCTATCTATACCAGAAATAATTTTAAATCAATGTTTATATGCATGTATCTTTTATCTCACTCCAAAGTTATCTGGAAAAACCAGTGGCATCATCCTTGTTCAGCTTTTATTTGGGTAGCATGTTGGTGAGGCCTCATGGGAACAGCTTCTGGTATGAGTAGGAGACACAATCTCATAGCAAACTCCCTGATCCCCAGACTCTTACGTTCTCTGTCCCTCTTCCACAATGTTCCCCAAGTCTCAGGTGTGGGACATTGCTGCTCTATTTACCATATCTAGGAAATGGAAACAACATAGTAACCTTTTGAGACCGAAGTCCACCATCCCGTTTACTGAAGAAGCTGACTGAGACACTGTGGTTTGGTAACTTCCATAAGGTGACACACTTGGGGGACAGTAAATATCAGCAAACATCAGCTCTGAACCCAGGCTACCTGGGTCTAGAGCTTTTGTTCTTAATCCTGATAGCAGGAATAGGGTTTAGACTTGACTCACAGCTTTGTGAGTCTGACTGAGTGTCCTAGTCAGGGTTACTATTGCTGTAATGAAACACCATGACCAAATGTAACTTGGGGAGCAAAGGGTATAAACCCTTTGAATTACACTTCCATATCACCGTTCATCATCCAAGGAAGTCAGGACAGGAACCTGGAGGCAGGAGCTGATGCAGAGGCTATGGAGGAGTGCTGCTTACTGGCTTGCTCTCCATGCTTGTTTAGTCTTTTTTTGGGGGGGTGGGGTTTGAGACAGGGTTTCTCTGTGTAGCTTTGGTTCCTGTCCTGGAACTCACTCGGTAGCCCAGGCTGGCCTTGAACTCACAGAGATCCACCTGCCTCTGCCTCCCAAGTGCTGGGATTAAAGTGCTGCCTGGCCAGCCTGCTTTCTTATAGAACCCAGGAACTACCAGCCCAGGGTGGCACTATCCACAATGGGCTGAGCCCTCCCATATCAGTCGCTAATTAAGAAAATGTCCTACAGGCTTGCCTATATCCCTGATCTTATGGAAGCATTTTCTTAATTGAGGTTCCCTCCTATCAGATGACTTTAGCTTGTATCAAGTTGACATAAAACCAGCCAGTACAATGAGTCAGTGATTCTTTCTGGGTCCATACTGATTTTGCATTCTGGTTGTACCTCTCTCCCCTTGTGTGATTAGGGTTGTTTAATATTTTTTGAACTATGTTCATGTATAAAACAGGGTGTTAGTAGAATGTCTACCTCATTAGGACTTTTGTAAGCAATAAAGACTATCCATAATGCATTTACCATCTTGCCTAGAATATAATCTGTGCTCAGTGAGTGTCTTCCTTTATTAGCATCATGTATAATGGGGAACTGATGACACCAGTTCTGCGTGCTCCTCAGCATTGATGGGAAGAAAATGGAAGTGGAAACCACCTGCAAATAGGAAGTGGTTTGTGAGAAGCATAATTTGTCTCCAGCCTTCTTCAGAAACTGTAGACCTCATGAACATTTGGATCATTAGGAAACTCAACTGAGACAAGGAAACAATTACTCAGGAATCAATCATAGCTTTTGAAAAAAAAATAAATCAGCCTGTGAATCATCATTTGTCAGATCAGTCATCTGCCTAAATAATTTATTCAGTCAAATGTTCTCTCTCTCTCTCTCTCTCTCTCTCTCTCTCTCTCTCTCTCTCTCTCCCTTCTCTCTTTTTTTCCTAATTGAGACTGTTTTCTCCACATAGGAATGACCTCAGTGTGGTCTTATTTGAGGTTGGCTTGGCACACTGAAAGTTCTAACAACTCAGGTTCCAACAAAAGCCTTTCTCGCTTTCTCTCACCTGAGATATTTGTGTGTGCTTTTCTGGGCAGTGGGATGAAATGGCTCCCTTGCACTGGGTTATTTTGCTGTTCTTAGGGGAGTAGGATGACTTTAATTCAGGTCTTCCTAAATTTTCTGGCTCTAGGACACTCATTTGAAAATGGAATTCCAAGTAGATTGTGGAGAGGAGAGCTCGAATCCCTTTGGCGATGGGATAACTGAGCTGTGGATATTTTAAGGAGAGCCTGGGGCTGAGAGAGAAGTACAAGGGCACAGCTCACTGTGGGGAAGGAAACTGGAGGGCAAGTGAGCAAGACGTGGAAGTGGTTGAATAAGGGATAACAACACATTCATGTGGTGAGAGTTCTGTCGTCATTAAAGCAGATAATGTTGATCTATAACCTTTAGCGTGAAGTGTCACTCTCCATACGCTGTTCCGTGTAATAAAAGTCAAAGACAGTTGTGTAGACTAGGTTTTCATCACGTATCAACTTATCTGCTTGGGGAAATGTTAGATATCTGCTCCTCAGGACACTGAGATTATTTCCAAGGGCCAATGTTTTTTGGGTGTTGAATTTTCTCCTAAGTGTTTAGTTCTGGTTTTGAACTCTTATAACGAAGCGATTGTGTTGCCTATTAAAATTAGTCGAAATTGGGGGGAAAGAATGGAGTAAAGCTTACTGGTGAGGTGTGTGTGTGTAGCTATGGAAGGCCTCTGGAAAGAAAATTAGCCAGATTGAGTAGGACAAGTAATTACGACCTGCTTTGAGGAAGATGCCGTTTGAGAAACCAGCACGAAGGAGGATGGGAGCAGAGGATACCCAGGAAAAAACTGAATCTGTGAGACATCCTGATTTGGAGACACTAGCAATAAACACCTGTCCTTCCAAATTCCTTCCCTCCAATTTTCCATCAAAACACAAGCCACAGTTTTCTGGGCAAATGACTGCGTGAAATACTGGTTGGTAACACTTTTCAGTCTTCCTGGCAGCTGGAGACTGTCTTCCCTTCCCTGGCTCCATCCTGCCGTGTGGGATGCAGCAGGAGCTCTGACAGCCATCTTGAATCATGAGGATGAAGGCCACTTCTAAAAGGGGAAAGAGGCTCTGCTATATTGCCCTAGACTACTTCACTTTTAGACTTTTATTTGAAAACTACGTAAACTTTTATCTTAAAGCATTATTCTTCTGGATTTATGAAAGGAAAAGAATGAAATGATAAAGAAACAAAAAAATCCAGGTCCTTTAAACAATAATGGTAATATATATAATAGTATTATTTTTTGTACATACCAGATACCATTACTCCATAATGTATTTTATTTAATTCTCACAGCAACCATTGAAAAAAAATATATAAATAAATTCAAATTTCAAAACTTAGAAAACTTGAAATCGGAAGTTAAAATTTGCCCAAATTCACAAAGTGAGGTGCAGTGGATTCAGGTTTTGAATGTAAGAGTCTCTTTAAGCCCACAGTCTTAATCATTAAGCTCATGTTTCTCAAAATAAAACTTGTGATTTACAGGTACCAGAATTCTGGAAGATGTTGAAAACACATATCCCAGACCCAAGCCCTGATTTATTTGCTTAGTATTTCTTGGAGTAGGATTTTTTTTTTGTACCTGCATTTTAATTTCTTTTTTTTTTTTGGTTTTTCGAGACAGGGTTTCTCTGTGGAGCTTTGTGCCTTTCCTGGGACTCACTTGGTAGCCCAGGCTGGCCTTGAACTCACAGAGATCCGCCTGGCTCTGCCTCCCGAGTGCTGGGATTAAAGGCGTGCGCCGCCACCACCGCCCGGCTGCATTTTAATTTTTATGAAGCTTTCCTACCATCCAGGTTTGATGCTACTCATCTGAGCTACATCTTTTCCAAATCAAATGGGGGCAATGGAGATTTGATATAAGCTTGTAAATTACTAACCCACTTTCTTCTTTTCCTTCCGGGAAGATATTTCTAGCGCAAGTGGCATACGCATTTTAATGAGGACCGAGGGAGTGTATTAAAGCAAAGTTATATTAAAGTGCCTCTAAATTCCTTTGAAGCTGCCTCAACTTTGGAAGTCCGCGTTGGTGCTAATTGTCTCCCTCTTCCTCACTTCTTTTCTCCATTCCTCCTCAACATGGGTAAGCACTGTGGACATGAATTACAGAGTCTATATTCAGCACGAGGCTTTCCATCTTCGTCCTTCCTTCTGGATAATATGTCCCCTGTTTATTCTTGGGACTCCCGTTATA